ATGAGATCGAATCTTGACCTGACTTGTAAAGAGATGAATTGATGAAATTTAAAGCCTTATTTTGCAAAAAAGGTGAAAGCAAACTACCCTTATTTGGTCCTTTAGAATACCGCATGGTATCAAATAAATTAATTGCAGACTTTAATTCATCGTCAGGTAAATGTTTAACAATGTTAATTAATTTTTGACGATGTGTAGTTTTATTTTCGTTTTGATGATTAGTTGGTTGGACCATATGTTGGTAAATTAATTGCAATTCATTATCGTCCATTTGCATTAAAATCTGATTTAATTCGCAAATATATTTCTCGCGCTGGATGGCTTTTCGTTTGTCTGCCGAAGCCTTGCTTGCCTCACGTGATTGACGTTTTCGTTTAGAGATCGGCATCCTTTACGAATTAATATATTTATTAAATTTAATTACTTTAAAACGATGCAACTTATTGAATACCCGAAGAATTACCTTGAAATTTTCACAAGTAACTTATTAAGTGTTGGAGAATAAAGTTACGCTTTTGGATTTTCTATTAACATATAAATTTGAACATTTGTCTTATATAATTTAAATTTCATTACTTAAAGTAAAAAAAAAATTAGAATTTAAATATACAAGTCGAAACTTTAATAAATTTTTTGCAATAAATTGAGCGTAACTTTTTAGAGATGACTTCTGTGAAGAGTTTTCAATTAAAAGAAATTAGAAAAAGAAGTGCAATGTCAAGATGCGTTCTTTAAGAATTGTATATTATTTATTAAATAAATATATATTAATATGATATTTAATCGATTATTTAATTTTACTGATTAAAATCTGATTATAGTAAAATCACTAATATTGCAAATATAGTTTGATTTACTTAGTTGATTTACCACCCCAGTACGTACGTACGTACGTACGTAAGTCTTGTCCTGCGGTCTAAAGTTTTCCTTGAAAAGTATCCATTTTGGTATTTGTTTTACAAAGTACGTACTTTTTTCCAAAAATATATTATAAATACACCTTGTACGTACGTACATACGTATATACGTTGTGCTACAAAAATATAAGTGACACATATCTATGGTAACGACCAGAACACTGATCTTATATATGTGATTAATTAATTACGTAAGATTGCAAATTCATTCAGAGTGATAACTTAAATATTTACTTACAGGTTTTCCCTCAACTATACTATTATTTACGTTAGAATTAGGGTTAGGGTTAGGGTTTTGGTTGGGTTAGGCTTAAAATTGTGTAACAAATATTTTTATTAATTACACAATAAGGGTTATCTTAATAAAATTTTGAAATACAGGGGGTGCACCATATAACAATGTCCTTTAAAGATTATCCAATTCTAATTTGGCTGATTTTTGATAATGCATAAATGCTTTGTGCTTATCTATTTAGCTCCAATTTCTAATAATAAGATTAGTGATCGAACTGAAACCGTGCCATTACTCCAAATAAATATAATACAATACATGTTAATGTAAACAGAAATGTCAATATACAAATTAATAAATAGATCATCATAAAAGATGTGATACAATGACTTATAAGTTATATTGGTCATATCGATCGATATTGGATAGTTGAGTTTACAAACCTATGCTTTTTCACATTTGTCACATTTAAATAAATTTAAAAAAGCTAATCGTAAGGGTAACGTCCAACTAAATGAGTTCATTTATTATAGTCACTATCAATTAAAAAACAATGGGATAATTTAATGATCTCTGATACTTAAATGTAATGGTGTTGATGAACTGCTCGACGTACTTAATAAATATTAGAGGTGTACCTAGTGATGTGCCATTTATAAGATACCTGAATTTTTTTAGCGTACAGTACGTACAGTTTGTATAGTGTGTATAACATACGTAATATACATAATACATGTGGCATTTATAAATAAGTTATATGCAACATTTTGCAAGGAACAATTCTTGTTAGAGTGCGAAAGACTGTTTCATAGTCAAAATTTTGAGATAGGGATACTTTCATGATTTGTTCTAGAACATTCTAAAAAATTTTTGCGGCACATCTCTAGGTGTACCTCTCATGCGATAAACATAGCATTTATTTCGTATAAGACCTTGCTGAAATATGAATTTTGAGTTTATTAGAATATAAGTTTTTAGTGATGGTTTAATATTTTTTAGTCTAGTTAATTATTTTTATCAAAAAAAAAAAAAATTTTGCACTTGGTAAATTACTGGTCACTAAGATCTTTATTAAAAACTTTATTTCGCGCGAGATAGATCATATGAATAATTTGTTATCAGCGTCTATGTGGACACATCTCTAATCAATATAGTACAGACCGATATTTGAAAATTTACCAAAAGAATTTTCCAGAATTGATTTTCCATGCAAACAATTGTATTACAATACGTAGTATTTTTGTTACATTTAAAAAAAATTTTTTCAACAAAAAAATTCCAAAATATTATTACAAAAAACCTTAGTGAAACGAGGATCAACGGGGCTGTTTATCTTGCAATAAAACAACAACCGCTTATTGGTTAGAGTTCCAATCCATTAACCGTTTCATATATCCGTAATCCGTTATCCAAGTATCCGATCTGAATTTATCCGGATATCCGTTCACTATTGATATACAAATAATTTATCCGAATATTTGTCGGATTATCCGGATATCAATTGCAAACGGATATCCGGATAAATTCAGATATGGATAAATGGATGACAGACTGGTACAAATTCAGCCCCATAGAAGTAGAGATAGGAATCGTTTTAGTCGACTAAAAAATTTATATGTAAATTCTTATGTTTAGTTGATTTAGTCGACTAAATCATATAATCGATTTCCTATCCCTACATAGAAGTATTTAGAATTTTTACTTACAGATCTTTGGCTAAAAAAGAGGCACTGTATCATTGATCAGTCTTTAGTCAAATGTTTTGTCACCTGAAAATAAATCATAGGGGCTAACAGTACTGTAGCTACTGAAATTGTAAATCCTTAAGTGGCGCAGATTTGATGCGACTAGATGATTTGTGCACCATATACAGTTAACGAGAGGCATCCTTGTACCAAACTCACCAATTATACGGCTCAATTTAAAAGTACTGAATCTTTAATAGGAATTTTTATATACAGCATAATATGTACGTACGTACGTACGTACATAGAATAACGGACATTCGGCCAGCCAACTTACTGATTTTATTAACCTGCATAATCTAGCTTGAAATGGATCACGGAATTTATGCTGTCATATTATGTTAGGATTCAAAAATGGAAATTGTAATAATTGTGGCGGATCATAATGAAATCCAGATCAAAATGAAATTATAATATAAAATCTCGAAAAATAAAAATTTTTGAGGTCATTTTTTAGGGATAGGGGTTAGGGTTAGGGGTTAGTTTTAAAGTAAAGTTATAATAAACAAGTATAAGTGGGTTTTAGAAGGTTAACAGGTTGAGTAGAAAATGTAGATTTCATTTTAAATTATGATCCGCGACAATAATTAATTCTCATTGTTAAAATTTCCATTTTGAATTTATGTATATATCAATTTACAATTTCCTCCATTTGGGTTCCGATCAATTCACCGACAGTCATTTCACTGAATGCTCATTTAGCTGACATCACATAGGGTCAGGGTTTAGCATTTGATAGGTTACAGGTATATATCTTTACTAAATTTCAAGTGATGTCGGCTAAATGAGCTGTCGGTGAAGTGATTATCGGTGAAGTGATTGTCGGTGAAATAATACGGTCCCCTCCATTTATGGTTATGTATATCAATGTACGCAGGAAATTTAAAACCCTCAATCTTCATGTTAAGGTGATGCATAAACTAGAAATAAATTTCTTAAATTATCAATCTCAATAGAGTGATGGGCATAGAAATAATGCGGCAAGAATAATATACAGTACACTTTAGTGGAACTGTTTTATGCATACGACTGATAGTTTTTTGTTCTATATAAAGTGATTGAGATTTTTAGATTTCTTGCTCCGTATGTTGTGCTAACCGAACAGAGCTAAGTCATATGAACAAAGAAAAAAGAGAATTTAAAGATAAAGAGCAATTGATAATTCCGAGATTAGTACTAAAATTGATAATTTTTTGTGTAGCAAATATTATTAACGTTTGATTGAGATATAACATTTTCATATGTTAGTAGTTATATTAATTCAATTCAATCCGGAAAAAATTCTTTTTATGTAAAAAAAAAATCTCAAAGCCGCGTTACAATCATTCATTATGCATAAGTATATTGCATGGTTTCTGTTTTATTGCTTAATGCGAAGTAAATTTAATAAATTTAGCATATTGGACATACTGCATAAATTGTATTCTTGATATATAAAATCATAATCATAGACGCATCATAAAAGTAACCTCTTCAACATAAAGATTTAATTCGCTTTAATGATACGATTCCCTTTAAATAGAAAAAAATGTCAACTTAATTTGGTCGTATAGTGTATACACGTTTTTTCTTTTGGTTTAGGGTATAAAAAGTTGAGTTTTTTGTGCTCCAACTCTTTTAAGCAAAATCGTTTGCTTAGCTTTTAGTTATAAAATCTAGCAAAGTGCTATTAAATTTTGCTTCCAGAGGAAAATTTTAATCTTTTAGTGAGAATTTACAATAGTAAAAGTTCCAGTGTTGCTTCCAGTGGGCTCTATTGTGGTTTCAATCAACAACATTGATCTAGAATAATCATTATTTAATTATTACGATTACAAAATAAATTTATTAATCATGTCATCATGTCAACGACGATGACCTTACGTAACCAAAGCATGTACAAATTGTCAACAAAAACATATAAAATGCACAGGAAAAGAAGCATGTAAAAATTGTTCGTTAAATGGTCTCAAATGTATTTTTAATAATTCGAATAAAAAGCGAGGACCAAAAAAAAACCGTGAACTAAAAAAAGACAATAGACCCAAAGAACAGAACTATGTTCTTGACGACTCTGAAATGAACTCGAATGGAATTTCTATGCAATCCTTTATATTCCCCAATATTATGCAGGGTCACACATTAACTTTTCAAGATCATAATGGTATTATTTTCTATTCTAATCCTTATAACGAACTTCAAAGCGTTAATACTTTTCAAGAAATCATGCCCTTCGTTTATCAAACCCATACTGATACTGGCTATGTTATGCAAAGTAACCATTCTAATTTATATTGAACAAACATGTTCGCGTTCCGTATAAGTAGCACATCGTAGAACAGTATTGGCACGGACAGCTTTGGACAAATTGTGGACAATTGTGGACAATTTTGAATAAAAAAAAACAATTCTAAATTACTCAAAATTTTATTAAAATAACCTATTTTAATCTTTTAAGCAAAAATATTCAGAACTATAAAAAATTCATATCTTATTTAAACTAATTTATTAAATTTTAATGCCTTAATATTCTTTGGACAGTTGTGGACATTATGGATGTTTGGACGTGAACATGAGCAAAAAAAGTCTTAGACATAGTAGATGTGACAACACTGTCATAGAATATGAATGTTTTTCATAAGGCATTTATTTTTTTGAACAAACAACTATTAAATATATAAGAATAATTATTAGCACAATTTCTATATAAATATAAGAACATTTTTTATAACGTTTCTAAGGATCCCTAGTGACTGTACTACTTCATTTTGGTGTTAAACGTGCGATTGAACATTATATGAGCATGTATGGTAATTTCTATTTAATAGTAAGAGCTACTTTCCTAACCTATGTGTCATGCGAATTTTTTCAAATTTATAGTGACCTTCTTTATTCCTTAAAATTGATTCTCTTATTCCATTTATCCAACTTATCCTACTCGTGATTAAATTCTACCCTTCATTCCTTTTCTTTTCTGAAATACCGTGTAATTTATTTTTAATAATATTTAATGTCTCGGCTGATGCTAAAATTGGGTGATACTGAAATTTGGACCTATTTTATATGAAAATTTAAAAAAATTATTGGGTGTTTTTTTTTTAGGGTTTGGTTAGGATTTTATAATTAAAGTGTATATGTGGATTTTAGCAGGGCTTATATCTTCAAATCGAGACCCCAAATTTCAGCATCAGCCGCGACATTTAATAATATTTGGGAGGAATTTGGCGCATGAATTTTTATTATTTAGGACCTGTAATTTTCACTTTACTAAGACTGGTACGTCTATTGTGTCTCAGATTAAGACTTGTATTAGATTACTATTAATTTAGTCTTATCAGAATATCTTGCAAAATTATTGAAGATTAATAAAAAATAATAATAATAATAAAGAGAAGGCTTTGTAATTTATCGTTATAGCGATGTATCGCTACCCCGGGTCTAAGTCAAATCAAAATCCCGAAACTTAATTGTCGCATCACGTGAAGTCGGGGTTTCAATATTCAAACCCCGTTCATGATTAGCAATATATAGGTAAATTATATTACTAATCATAGCCAGAGTTTGAATATTGAAACCCCGACATCACGCAACTAAATATCAGGGAGTAGCGATACATCGCTATGGCGATAAAAAATAAAATCCATAAAGGGAAATATTTATTTAAACTTACTAAAAATGCAATGGATGCGTTTTACATACATAACTATCTTAACTCTAACCTTAATTTCGAAATCAAACATGCAGGAATCCTGATGCCTTATTAACCACTGATACTTGCATGATAACTTAATTATAGCACAGCTGATTTGGATTTAGTAATTATTAATGCCGGCTTAACCGTTCAATAATTTTATACCGAATTTTGATGGTCAATGTGTATAAATTATTATTATTATTTTTTTAATCTTCAAAGGTGAGGCCATGCCTCTATCTTTATTAAAATTCAACTAAACTTTTTTACAATTAGAGTAAAGAAATTACATTATTTGACTAGAGGCTCAGACAGAGCTCTTGCTAACCCAAAAGTTATATAAATTATACAAATTACGCAGAATAAAATTATTTATTACATATTGCAATAAATCCAAGTTGAAAACATTTAATATCAACGCTTAATCATTAGGCCTACAAATAATGGTCATTTACAAGAATCTAAAGACGGTCCCGTCGACATAATCAAAGATTTAAATTATATATATATATGAACAAGGGTAAGCGTAACTTGCACATATCAGATATGAAGCAATTTTGTGTATGACTACAGTATTGACCAATCATATTAAAATTTCAATACGCACATAAGAATATAACGATAAATTTCGCAATTACATCCACAAGGTAATTATTACATTTGGACCATATTATCAATTAAGCGACTTATAATTAGTGCTTTATCTGCTGAATCCTTATCCGATTATAAACTGTTCAATGAAATCGATCGAAATAAAATTTTTGCCAAAAGTAAATGTTTTTTTTTAATTTGTTTATTTTGTTAGAACATTAAAATAGTTCAACTTTTAATGCTGGAGGTTCTATACTCGTTTCTTTCCTCTTGCTTCGCTTAACTATTACTCTTTTATCACTTATTCTCTCCTTTATTATTGACTTCTTCCTACTCACACAACGTTTCACGAGATAGCACGTTGAAATTCATTAAATACAAATTTTGTTCAAGATTCACCAATTGTTTATTTATTTCTTGATTATTCATTACCACGATTCGAACCAGAAATCATATTACTTTCATTTCCCTCTACCACGCAACCCTGACACATGCCTAGCTAATTTCGGATATAATTATTACTGTAACATTAATTCTATGCATATAGATTATTTAAAGCTGCATTCTATGTACGTACGTACGTACGTACGTGCACAATCCAGATCACATCTATATTCACTAATCTAATGCGTTATTATTAAATTACCCGAAAGTGTAAATATAAGGATTACATAATATTAAAATGGCGTTTTATTTAACTATTATAAATTAGAAGTACATAATACCCTTCTTTAAATCAGGTCTTTGAAAACTTTTTAAAGTAGGAAACAATGTTTTGAACTGGACCAATTTAATTCGGTGGTCTACATTACCCCTTCCTTCATCTTATTAAACAAAAATAGTGTATATTGGGTTACGAAAAACATAAAAAATTTTTAAGTTTGTTATGAACTCTTATTCCAGAAGAAAGAAGGATGAAATATAAACCACTGAATTAAATTGGGTTGGCCTTATTGATAAACGTATTGTCTTTTTCTTTTGATATTAAAACGCATATTTATTAAAATTGTCGCGGCTGATGCTGAAAACGGCGGATGTTGAAATTTGGGATCTCGATTTGAAAATATAAGCCCTGCAAAATTCGCATATACTCTTTAATAATCAATTCTAACCCTAAACCTAAAAAAAAAGCGGACAAAAATACCCCAAAAAATTTTTAAATTTTCATATCAAAATAGGTCCGAATTTCATTTATATAAAAATAATTGTAGCTAAATCCCATGCTGATTACGTGTCATAGTGACGACCAAACCCCTATATGCTACGTTCAAGGAATGTTGGGGGGTTGATAATTTAGAGTTCGAAAATCGATAATAATACAATAAAATAAATGCATGAAATATACATGCAAAAGCAAACTGGTTATGTATGCAAATCACCCCACCAGGCAAGCTTTATTGATAGTTAAGTTAAATTCTTAGAAAATGAAAAAATGTATCTTCTGGTGGGCTAATATACTAATAGAAGGAAATGGAAGGGCTAGCTTACAACTCAAAAAATTGCATTTCAGGAGAAAATAAAAAAAGGCAATCTTTATGAAATACCAAGCTCTTCTTCCATATTACTTAAAACATAATAAAAATCTAGAATAAGAGGGTTAGATATTGATGCAGATATACAAAAATCAGATGACATCCCATGAAAAAGACATTCTGTATTAATATTACTAGTAAATTGTTGAGGTTGAAAAAGAATTTGGTTGTCATCACCAATGGTATCGAATCCAAATTCCTTAAACATAAAGTATATTAGAATTATTTTCTGTTAACCAGCTTTATATTAATAATGTAACATACTGTAACGGGCACCAATTCTCCTGTTAATGTCCTATTGTCTGTACAAAAATGCCATACCTATAAAAAAATAAACGTTGTAAAATGATGGTAAGAAATTAAATCAAAAATTTATATTTTCCTATTATTACTTACTTTTATTCTTGAAATAATTGTATCAGATTATACTAATTTTACTGCAATTGCATCATGAACTCTACCCAGATGGAGCTAATAGTTTTTTACTGCATCTAATAAATGGGCTTCAGTTTCTGAGGAGGCAACTACTATTGCAAGATTGGGCCACGGTTTATGCTAACAATGTATAATCACTCAGTATTAGAAACTTGATTAATTATGATGATAGAAAAATATTTAAAATTCTACATACAGAATCTGGACCCTCATGCCCATTTGAATTTACATTAGGTTTGTGCTTTGGTATGAAAGATTCATCTACCTCTTTTCCCATATTACAGGCTCTTGTTCCTTTATATCAAATAGAAGGCATATTTGAGTCATTGAGCAGTATTATTAACAATCCAAAAATGGATTAAATGCTTATACGTAGATCCTAAATTAATAAGTGTTATTTTTGGGTCCTTTGAACAAATCAACCTTTCAATTGTTCTAGAACAAGTCTCGTGAGGTCCTAAAGGCAATTCATAAACATAAACATTTTCATTTATCCACTTCCAACTTCCATATACATTAAAGAAGTCAGTTCGCTCTGTATATTTCTCCCAATCAACATCACTTTTCAATAAATAGGGCAACCTTAATATTATTCAAGATGTTAGCTACTGCCTTAATCATAAAAGAGATTAAACAAAAAATACTTACAAAGCTTCTTCTCATTTTGCATTTGGATGTATATTTCCTTGAGTCCACTACAATTCTCAAAATTTTGCCAGAGTGTTATTAGAATTCGAAAGTTGAAAGCTATTTGTAATAATTAAAAACATTTCAGAAGAGTTATCCAAAAGAATTTATAATTACACATTTTTACGTCAATATTTCAATAGAGCTTGCTGTTTCTCTTGAAGTCGAGCTGTCTCTCGAAGCTGTATTGCTATATATAATTAATTTAGAACGGCTCTTAAAAACTATCCG